TAGAAGGGCAGCGAACGGTATGGATGGGTGCCCAGGGAAGGCCAAATTCGTGCCCACCAGCGCTCGTTTCTGGCCAGAAAGGCGGCATTAACAGACTCATCGCCGCTGTTGTTGCGTATATTGTAGCCATATTGCTGCAGCGTCTCAAAGCACCATGCTGGTGCAAATATGCCCGCCGAGAAGCCGCGTGCCGCAATCCTAGCCAGAGTATGAGCGCTCTGAAAGCGTCCCAATTGGCCGCGCCCGAACACATCGAGTCCCAGAAACAAACGATGCGGTGCTGCCTTCTCACGCTGTATGGATGCCTCGCTCGTGTCCAGACTGCGATCGTTCCAGGTGTAGTTGATCAGAGTGCCATGACTGGCGCGAAAGAATTGCACATTGCGCTCATTCAGCTCGTTTTGCCAGGACAGTTCGCCATTGTCGATGACGCTATCGTACCAAATAACGCGTCCATGCGGCACCTGCCGCTCGGTCGCCTGACGCAGCTCCTCCACAAAGAGGCTGTTGCGAATGAGGCCAGATTGAGTGATGGAAACTCCACAATCGAAAAACGCTACTCACTAGAGATTGGGCATGGCCTCGGCACGCACCGGACACTCCACATTCACCAGCCAGCCCTCGAAGCCAAAGTGCAGACAAAGCCGTGTCATGGCTGCCACAGTACGTTGCACGCTCTCCGCGCTGACAAGGATTTCGTGCAGTAGCTGTTTGCCCGAGTGGCCCTCGGCTATGTAGGTGCCCAGCACGGGCACGCCATGTCGATGGGCGGCATTCAGCCAGCCACTAGGCGGTATTGTCACATATTTGTGGCTGAAGTAGCAAAAATAATCCACAGCCGACCAGTGCATGAATCGATAGTCATCGTACTTCTCCGAGCTGTGGTAGTGCCTGTAAGAGATTGGGATAAATTATATGCTAATCGTATGTCCAACAAAACTCACTCACCGATCGGTCAAATAGTTGCCCATCATGTCGTGGCAGACAAGCAGCTCGCGTCGACTGTTGTTATTCAGCGTACGTCGATGGTTGCTCAGAAAATCGGATTGCCTCTCCAAGTAGACCGCATCGCCGCGCACTTCGGTATCCAAGGGTTGGACGTAGCGCTTCCAGTCAATGTCACGACTGCGCACCATAAATCCCAGCAACTGCACATTGTCCAGAATTGGCTCTGCCTCCAGCTGAGCTGCAATTGCGGCTGTTAGTTCGGGTCGCATGTGGCCAGCAGCAGCGGATGCTGTTCATGCAGCTGTTGCCTTTTGCGAAATGACTCCAGCGGCGACTGGCTGGCTTGCATTTATCAGAGTCGGCTACGAGGCCGCCCTGCACGCGTTTTCTTTTATCGTACTTGGCAAACTGCGCGGCATCCGCATTAGATGAGAGCTTTAAAGTCGACCATGTACGATTATTGCGGCCAATGTTAATGGGGGCGGGCCCAATGTGTACTCTATCCTACTTTTTCCCGCTTCTACAAAACCGGAACTCCAATTTTGCATTGCACCATGAACCGTACCTTCAATTGGTTTAGCAGACTAACAGCCCAATCTGAGACAATATTTCTCAAAAAAAAAAGGTTAAGCTCGTTTCGTTAAGGTTTAATTATATATACTTATTTTTTATCAGGTGCAGAAAAATCGGGAAATATGCGATTCCGGACGAGTATATTTTAATTGTTTAACAAAGTTGCGCTATTTTTATTGATTCCTTAAAATTGTTTTTCCAACTTTTTAATGTACTATTATACAAAAAATTTAACGTACTCGACTAATCGAAGTGATTATAATTAATATCTAAACTAAACTCTCGGAGGAAATGAAAACTTAAAAAACAAAACGAGAAAGTAAGGATATCCTCGACACGGCAAAAGGTTAATATCCTTGTAGACATTTGCCTTACGATTCTGCAGATATGTGAAAGTAGTGAAGTTGGTAAATGAATATTTGACAGCTATAGGATATAGTGGCCCGACATATGCATAGATTCAAGACGATAGCTACAAAACTGAAAGACTAGAAACATACAGATGGGCATGGCTATATCAACTCGGCTATTGATGCTGATCAAGAATATATATACTCTACTTGCACATGCCTCCTATGCGTCACACATTTCTTGACAACATTATAATACCCTATTTAAAGATATACAAAACTAATTTTGAAATTGACAGCAAAATTTGTACAAATTATATTTGTTAAATAAGTGTTGAATGCATCTACCTCTACTTTTCACTCTCACATTTCCCCTTAACATTCCTCTCTTTCTCCACTTACTCTTGCAATCACCTTTCACCGAGAGTATTTTCTATAAAACTAATATTTTTCATAATAATAATAACTCACAAGCTCAGCCTCAAATATGAATCTCCATTCCAAGCGACACGTGTGCACTTAAATCATTTTTCAATGATAAATAATCTTAAAGAACTAATTCATGCATGTGCCATATTTTAAATCATAATATCTGGGCTTTGAGCATTCGATTTAAGATCTGGCCCCTGGACTTTAATGCGCAGTAAACATAATCTAAAGTGAAAGCCTTTAAGGCTGCTGAGCAGGAAAGCAGACAAAACGATATCGTCTTATCATTTATCCAACCTCGATTTCTACGGGCGCACACACGAAAATTTTCATTTGGATTATGTGAATAATTCATGCGGTCAGCGTACAGACTCGAAGCCCCTCCTCCCTTGCCCCACCCCAGCCACTATCACGAAAAACCCGAGCATTTTCATTGCAGTTGGTAATGGGCAGCGCCACAGTAGAAACTGCAACAGCAGGAGCATCACCAGTAATGTACTGCCGCTTCCTGTTGTGGCAAAAGTTTTTCGCATTCAGAGCTTCAATGGACGGCCGTTTGAGGGGGTGGAGCTTGGCAGGGTTAGGGTTGGGTGGTATCAGGCGCAATTGGACTGACGTTTTGTGCAATTTGTGCGCTTACGGGAGGCAACGAGGCGTTTGAGCGGAACTTAAATCTATCATTGCGGCAAGGATATGGATTTTACAGTGGCACATCGGGAATACTAATGAGAGTTTGGGGCGGCACACATCGGTTTTTACACTGTTCAAAAAATGAATGAAAAGTTGGTTTGGTTTTGTGCAATAACCTATATATATATATAACATGGCTGTCTGAATCTTACAACTTTACCACCCTTCATTATTGTGAAAAGCTATATCTGGAGCTAGAGACCTCCTGATGGAAGGCAAGTCGGTCTTTTCTCCCTGATGGACATAAGCCAGACCTTCCTCCGAGAGCCTAAAATCTATTTCAGGGTAAAAGCTCATTTTGTGAAGTTAATATATGATTTGTCAGGTAGTCTCGGGTCATCTCTTTGAAAATTATGAGTTCTAGAGGCTAGACTGGTATTAAGGAGAGGCGTATTCCATAAAAGGAAGCTCGAATTGATGTTGCGTTCGCAGGGAGCTAGGAACAGGGTATCCTCTGGTCGAGTACTTTTGACTTTTCTGTACATAAAACAGGAGAACATTGCTAATGCTAGGTTAACAAAAGCAGAAAGCAGCTGGAAGGGAGAATCTACATACATATGTATATATGAGATGACTTTAAAACTGTAAACGGTATAGATTTTTGCGGTTGAGAGCAAACGTGACCTAAATATATATTTGTTATCAGCAATATACAATCAACTGTGTAAACTTATGACTAGCGACATATATCAATTACCGCGAATGGCCGCGCGCTCGTGGTAGTAGAAATGAGTGTGAGACCAGAAAACTGAGTATAACCTTTATTTCCGACTGATTTTTCCAATACGAGTCACATTATATGACGGTTCAAAGTTTTTAGGATTTTGTGAAGCACTTGATTGTCAAGTTTGTTCAAGATATTTTGTTAAACTAAAAAAATTATATTTTCCGACCGATTCTTTTAATGATATAGCAATCCGATATGTCGAGGCTCTCGGTGACATTTAAGCAGCATAATGCAGCTCATAATTGCTTGGTTTGGTCAAGATATCTTGAAAAATAGTTCTTCATACAAAAACTAAGTTTTCGACCGATCATTGCTATTACTATATAAACCGATATGGGGCCCGGATAAATGCAATCGCCCCCACAACAGAATGACAAACCTATGCAAAGCCTTATGACGTTAAGTTTATAATATTCTCTACAAGGATATAAGCTCAGTACGAAAGCTTAAGCATAGCATTCCCTTTGGGAACGTGGCACCGGACAAGCTGCCGCTGTCGTCTTGTCTCGCTGAAAAGACGGGACACGACTGCAGACACATTGCCCAAACAAGCACAGCTCCAATGAGGAGTGTTGGGTATCGCTTCGGTAATAGCGCACAACATCGCCTGGAAGCGGAAGCGAGCGCTATCATCGGAGTCATCAGAGTTTGCCATTAAGTGTATGTTGTTTGCAAGGACCAAGGTTCGACTTATTGGACATATTCAAAAGCGGGGTATATGAACTTACGGCAGCCACAGGTGCAACTCTTTGTGGCGGTAAATTCACTCAGCTGTTGGCCAGATGCCGCATCTTTGACGACTTTTGCTTCCTCTTTCAGGCTCGGTTGGCGCGGCGATGGAGACGCCGGCATGGCGATGGCCAAGTTCTCCATATTTTGCTCCATTACCTTCTGCTCGTCCATATGCACGAGGAGCTAATCCAGCAGACGGCAGCAGTGACAAAAATAAAACACGGCGAAAACTTGCTCAAAAATTTAGGTGACACATACACGAACAGCTGTTCGATCAGTGTCAGTGTTGGTTAACGCGCAGTGGTTAGCAACGGCGCAAGCTCTGCGCGCCTTCTTAATTTGAATTCAAATTTGAATTCGAATTGGAAATTTTGCTAATTTAAATGAATTACATTTATTTTTGATTGTCTTTATTTAAAAGTGCTGTAGGCAACTGCAATTTGCTTTCAACTTAACAAAAATTTAAGCAGATTACGGCCTTAATTTGAATTGAATTTCTCTGCTTGCTTTGTTTTCAATATACAACTTTCTCTCTTTTCTTCTTCCTACAGTCGAAAACAGTGGCAATCAGTTGCCTTTTGGCAGGAGAAGCAATGCAAAATTAAGCCAAGGCCGCAATGCAGCTGGACATAAATTGTGATTAAAGAAGCGTCCAGCGAGGCGGAAGACAGCAAAACTTTGCTTGGCACAGCTGCCAAGAAGCAAAAGACAAAACGAGCTGCATTCGTTCTTGATTTATTACAATTCTATACAAGTTTTTGGCAACAAGGAGACGCACTAAAAAGTACACAATATGCCAGCGGGTCGGGTGGCCGGTAAAGCCGGCTACTCCAATCACTATTACAATGGTTTGTATCCATCCATAATTATTTTCTTTACAAATTAAAATTTTAAATGCATTCTGCAGTCCTGCAGCTGGTTATACAATTAACATTCGCATCGATTGCGTCCGTAATCGAATAACATGCATTTTAATTAATTTGTAGCCATCATTGCTGGATGGCTACAGGGTTCTTAAATTTAAATTTAATTGGGTTAATATGCGTATACAATAATATATGACTCTCTCTCTCGCATTCTCTCTCTCTTCCACTCACGCTCACGCTTGGCCTCAGGGCGTTCGTATGTGGGCATTAACGAGGAAATTATGTGGGTCAGTATTGGCATGGGCGTGACTATCGCGCTCCTTATAACGATTGCATTGTGCTACATTGCACGAGAGAAGTGCCAGAAACGTCAGCGCGAATATTACGTGACAGCATAGTTAATGTATGCAGCCGGTGAGTGTGGTTTGCCAGCGGCCACGCACTGCATCATCCAAATGGATGTGGATGTCGATGTGGGTGTAGGCGAAGCGCAGGCCTTGTCAATCACAGCAGCCATGGCAGCAACGCCCCAAGCAGCAGGCGCAACTGCGTCAGCTCCAACCGATCCCGGCCCAGGACCACAGTCAGAGCCCCAGCCACAGCGCGAGCCCGAGCACGAACCAGCGGAGCCAGCGGTCACTATTATGAACTGGACTGTTGTTGACATTTGCGGCGCTCGCAGTTGGGGTTAACCCAAAAGGAAAACATAACCCACCATTTAAAGCAAACACCCACAAGCACATACACATACAAATAATGCATGGCACAGACGGCTGCCATAGGCAGCTCGTTAACATTTTTTTTCGTGTAATCAAGAACTTGTTGTAATCATAGAAAACAGCCGCAAGCTGTATAACTTAATAAAATGTTATTAAATTTGCCAAGATATATTAATATATAGCAAAAACAATTTTCATGAGGGTTTTACTCTAACCATTTTTATTTTGAAATCGCGCGCAAATTCTAAATTGTGCTACACTGGCAGCTCACAGCAGCTGGTTACACAAGTCGGCGTTGCCAGATTGTCTAGCCAGACAGTATTTTTGTTTGCGCTTGTTGCAATCTTAAACTATATCTAGAAGCTGTATAACTTTAATGTAAGAGTGCCACTTAGTATGCTTACATTTAAGAATATATAGCAAAAACCATTCTCGTATTGACTTTACCTTAGTACTTTTTATTTTGAAAAGGCGCGCTTATTATACATTTTGTTACACTTGCAGCTCGTTGGCTCACTAGTCAGCGTTGCCACTATGTTGGCAGACAGTATTTTCGCACTACTTGCTCACATGCAGCACTGCTTGCTAGCCAATCAGCTGTTTTTTCAATGCGTGCCTGTAAGAAAGCGCGCACGTTTTTCTAGTAAAAAGTTGATTTGCACATAAATGCGTGAAAATGGATAATATAATGTTTAATATATGTACAAAACCGACGCCCAATGTTGCAAAAAAGGTGAGTGAAAAGAAATATATAAACCACAGCCAAACACTCACATTTGATGCTCGGCAGGTGGCGGCGCCAATGCAAAAGCCGCTGCGCAAACAAAAACGTGTAGCGGGTGGTGAATTCGACTTTCAGTTCAATGTGGATAAGCCTAAGATTAAGGCGCTTGTAGTGCGGCGTCGTGCTCCAGTGTCAAAGGAGCCGCCAGCCAAGTCCAAGGCAACGCCCCAGCCCAAAGTCGCACTTGCGCACGCCAGCGAACCAAATCTTAATGGGAGCGCAGCGAAGGATGAGAATGGCAACAAGAAACAGCAGCAGGAGCAGCAGTCGAAGGAGGCATCCAAGGGACAGCCTCACTGCGATCTGATGCTCAATGTGTACACAGCCCACGCTGTAGATGACAGCAAAAGAAAACAGCAGCACCTGAAGGAGGCTTCCATAGAACAGCCGTCCACGATGGCCAAATCTGGCGCCGGCATCAGTAAGCAGCAGTTGCGTACAGCTCTTAAGGGTCAGCGGCGTATGGAGAATCCCAACAAGTTACCACGCGCTGGCGATCTGTTCAAGGCACAATTGGACGAGGAGCGCAGGCTTAAGCGCGCCGCTGAGCAGCCAATTGTTGAGACATCCGCTGCAGAGCAGACGCCGCCAGAGACACCAAATAATGCCCCACAGGTAGCCAATAAGTTTCGCACCAAAAAAATTGGCTTGTTTGATCAGAGCGATGTGGCGGCAATTAAGCAGCTGGGACAGCGTGCGGTCAAGCCCGTTAAGGAGACCATATTTGCTGGCACCAAGGTTGAAAGCTTGGGTCTGCATGCGCACGCGGTTAAGAATCTGTTGGATCTGCTGAGCATAAGCCAATTGACAACAGTACAGCAGAAGACTATACCCGAGGTGTTGGCCGGCAAAGATGTGCTGGTGCGCTCACAGACCGGTTCCGGCAAGACGTTGGCCTATGCTCTGCCCGTGGTCGAACGTCTGCAGGCGCAGCTGCCACGCATAAAGCGCACCGATGGCGTTCTAGCACTTATCATAGTTCCCACACGTGAGTTGGCCGTGCAGACGTACGAGCTATTCCAGAAGCTGGTTAAGCCATACACATGGATTGTGCCCGGCGCTCTGCTCGGCGGTGAGAGCCGCAAGAGCGAGAAGGCGCGCCTGCGTAAGGGCATTAATGTGCTGCTGGGTACACCTGGTCGCCTAGTGGATCATCTACTACACACAGCCTCTTTTAAGCTCTCCAAGCTGCAGTTTCTCGTGCTGGACGAGGCGGATCGCCTGCTCGAACTGGGCTACGAGCGCGATGTTAAGCAGCTTGTGGAGGCCATTGACAAGCATCGCGCCGAGGAGCCACAACAACCGCCGGTTGCCTTGCAGCGTCTGCTGCTTAGCGCCACGCTGACCGCCCAGGTGCAGCAGCTGGCCGGTCTGACGCTCAAAGAACCGCTCTACATAGACAATAGCGATGAGGCAGCTGATGCGGCGCTAAAAGGCACCAATGGCTATCAGAAGGAGTCCATCGAGGCGCTACAGGACGATGGCCTCGGTGAGTACGTGGAGGATGTGACAGGCGTGCTGAGCATACCAGAGAATCTCCAGCTCAGCTATGTGGTGGTGCCACCCAAACTGCGCCTGGTCACCATTTCAGCGCTGCTCGCCAAGGAGCTGGCTGCCAGTCCCAAGCAATTCAAGGCCATTGTCTTTATGAGCACCACGGAAATGGTAAACTTTCATCACGATGTGCTCAACGAGGCGCTCACACGTCGCGTCCTCGACGAGGATGATGAGCAAGTGGCCAAAGAGGAGCGAGAGGCTGATGACGACGATGCCGAAACGCCCTTGCTCCAGGGGCTGCGATTCTTCAAGTGAGTGAAAAACCTTGGCTACACAAACAGAGATCCTAATTTAATGTCTATCCGCTTCTTTTTTTGCAGACTCAATGGTTCCATGACGCAAACGGAACGCCAGGGCGTATTTCGTGGCTTCCGCGACTGCGCCAGCTGTGTTCTGCTCGCCACCGATGTCGTTGGCCGCGGCATCGATGTGCCCGACATAAAGCTGGTGGTGCAGTATACACCACCGCAGACTACCGCTGATTTTGTGCATCGTGTGGGTCGCACAGCGCGTGCGGGCCGACGCGGTCGGGCTGTCCTCTTTCTGGCACCCAGCGAGGCGCAGTTTGTTCGCCATTTGGAGAGCAAGCGAATTCGCATTATGCAGGGCGATATGTATGCCTATTTGCAGGCCCTAATGCCGCGGGATGCGGAGGCGCGCACCGTTCAGGAGGCAGCATCCAATTTGCAGCACAAGTTTCAGTCGCTGCTCGAGGAGGATCGCGAACTGCATGACAAGTCCTGCAAGGGTGAGTTGTTTGCTCAATCAGTTCAGCTAGTTTCTATGGCAGTTGGCTAACCAAACACCCTCCATTCATCCGCTACCCCCTCTCTCAGTCCACTTAAACGCAACTAGCAATTTAATCCTTTCACCAAAGGATATTAACTTTGTAATTATGATTTTTTTTTACAACAAATTTCGCCGCTCTTCGGAGAGGGCTGAAAAAGGAAAACAGATACAGAGAGGTACACACACAAACACACACACGCACACACACAGACAGATATATGCTGCTATTTTCCAATTATAAGTTGGACGTTCGCGCCACGCCCCTGCGACCAGCCGCCCACTTGTACGCTGGCAACGCGCGTAAAAAACACTAAAAATTATTTCATATTTGAAGTTAATTTCGATTGCGTGTCGAATACGCTGCCCCGCCCAACCGTCTCTGCTCTATCTCTCTCTCTTTCTGTGTGTGTATGTGTGCAGTGACCAACTCCTGTCGTCGCACCATTATCCGTTGTCCTTTTTATACCCTTGTGGTGGGTATAACTTATTTATCATATAGTGCGTTATTTATCATATAATATATATATATATATATATATATATACTCCTTAGGATCGGAGCTGTCTCCTTCTATATGTGTCACACATTATATCATATATATATATATATATATATATATATATATCTTCATCAGATCAGAGGCCAACACTCTGTCAAGTCTCTTAGGGTCATGAAATTTTGTTCATATGTTTCAACCCGCCGAATCGGATCACTATATTATAAAACAATTAGTCGAGGAATTAGTTCTTGTAGGATTAACTTTTTTGTTTATCAAGATATCTTGACGAAACTCGAATCAGAAGCTTATCAACATCGGATTCTTATATCATATAGCTGCTATAGGAACAGTCGGTCAAAAAATAGGGTCTTGTATGAACAACTTTTCTGTTTAAAATGATATTTTAACCAAACTGGACATTTTTTATTCTCACTCTGCTTTAGACATATATGCAAAATCTAATCAGCATCGGACTACTATATTATAAAGCTGCCATAGGACCGATCGTTCGAAAAGTAGGTTTTTGTATGAAAAAATGTTTGCTTTTCGAGAAAACTTGAACAAATATCGGCCTTTATTAGTTTCACTCTTTTTTTTTTAAAGAAAATCTTATCAACATCGGATCACTATATCGTAAAGCTGGCATATAGGAGCGATCGGTTGAAAATTTTGATTTTCAAATTTTTGCTTTTCAAGATCTATTCACTAAACTCCGCAATTTCGAGCTACTCAATTCTCCTCAAATCCGAAAGCCATATGTCAGCAAGGGTATTCAACCTTCGGCGTACAGTTCTTTCTTTGTTTGCCTCGTCTACCCTTGCAAAGGGGATTGTGCCACAGGGCGTGCAGCCACAATTGTCTCCCATTTGTGGACAACGCGAGTTGAGGGTATTCCCTATTCGGTGTTATCTTTTCGCGATATTTTTATTATTTTTTTTGTTTTGTTGCCCTGTTAATGTCCTGTTGAAATTGTAATTGCAGCGCGGTAGAGAAAAAAGTTAATTAGATGTTACTAAGGCCGCCCGCCCCCCCTTAACAAAATGGAAAGGGTTGTTGTTGAGGGGGCGGGACGGCGGTTGCATAGGGGTTGACATCTGTGAGGGGTGGCAGGCGGTGGTGACGGTCAGATTTGATTGAAGCATAAAAATCAGAAAAGCGCAAACAACCTGCCCGCCCGCCCCCGCAAAAGAATTGGAATGCAAATGAATCATGAGATGAAAAAAACGTAACGGAGCAACAACAAACGGAAATTGCACGAAATGTTCAAATGGGAAAACAACAATCCAAAGCAAAAGATGTTTAAGATGATAACAAAGATGGACATGATGAAGATGTTGTTGTTGTTTGTGCGTATAGGAAAGAGATAAAAACAAGTAAAAGGAATATCATCATAAGAAAACAAACCATGAAAAAACGACTTTACAGAAGATGATAACAAAGATGAAGAGGTTGAGGATTTTGTTGCTGCTATTGCACTCGTTATAGCCCAAACGTATTTAAAAAGAGGGTATCAGTTAAGCCAATGTATGCGACAGGCATAGATCGGAACGATGAGTCGAGCTAGCCATAGTCTGGCTGTCCTTCAATCTGTCTGTCCGTTCGTCTGCATCCCGGAAACTACAGAATATGGTGACCTCTCGTATATCATATAAGGTTAATTCTATCAGTTTCTTTCGGTATCTTCTAACATTTTCCGAATATCGATAAATGTCGATTTTGAGACATGGTATAAGCATTAATTACAAGGTATTTAGGTTCTTGTATATTATATACGGATTAAGAATATTTCACCTTCTAGAAGACTCATACATTGCCCGCAATATTGAAAAAAACAACTGCTTTTTAAAGATAGCGCCTTACACTATGGTATATCGGCACAGTTGGGTACAAAATTTGGGCTCTAAAAATTTTATTGGACTGTAAACACCGAAGGTATTGAAGATTGCCTTTTCCATAGTTCGTTGCTGGGGAAAGAATGCGTTAAGTATGCAGTAACGGTAACTTGTTGCTGGGTCCAGGGTGTCCCTTAGTCCTGCACACCCGACTAGTGTACTCTAGTTTTTGTTGTTGCCGGTGATTGGAAAGGGGACAACAAGAAGAAGAACAAGTTGCCGGCACTAAAGACAGGCAGCAGCCAAAATGGCAACTGAAATTGCACTTAAGCGTCGAGTCAAGCGTCAAGGCAGGAAGCCGCTTGGCAAAACTTGAGAGCGCTCTCACCCAAAGGAGTATGAGTTCAGGCTAGACTGCGACCGGTCGGAGGCGGGGTGCTGCCAGAGCTGGCTGCAGTTGCTGTGCCGCGTCCAATCAAAAAGCCATTAAAAAGTATTACGCTTGAACAAAACTGTACAAAGCAGCAGATAAAAGCATTTAGAAACACAACAGAGAGAAAGAGAGAGTGTGAGAGTAAACACATAAACAGAGATAGAGAGAATATAGATAGATAGATAGAAAGATGGATAGAAAGGAGCAAGCATATCCCATGTATGTACTCTGGCTAGGACTACGTCGGAGTGGAGCTGCATGCGTGAGTAACTAAAAAAATGTTCAACTTAAAATTCACTTTTTGCTCAAACTGAGATATTGCAGCAGCTCCTCCTCTAAAGACAGGTGAATCAAAAAAGATGCACTTTGATTCTCCCTCTCCTAGGCCATACTATCCCATTTAAAACACTTTCTTTACCACTTTATCACATAGTTATTACTTTTGAAAACTATATACTCGGGGTTTTGGAGAGTGTCCTTATGTTTATTATCGTTAGGCGCTTTTGAAGTAAGAAAATTAAGATCTGGAATGTATTGTATGGCCTTGTATGGCGTTTTGCGTCCACGTGGAGCCTGTTTAATCGCGAAATTCTTCATCTTCTAATCTCGTTTAATGCTCGATTTAAAAGTCTTTTACCTACGCCAACGGGGGGCGTGGCCCCCAAAAACCTACCATTTTTAAGCTAAAGTGATGAAATTTCCAATCATATGCTCTTTTGAAGATCAAGTTATTTAAACCATGTATGCATTTGAAATGGGTAAAAGGGGGTATATTGGCTTGGTGCAAATGCATGTAATAGGCAGAACGACCCAATAAAGTATATAAATTCTTAACCAGGATGGTGAACTGAACCGATTTAGCCATGTCCGTCTGCCCGTCTGCTAGTCTGCTCGTCTGTGTGACTATCAAAACAAAAAGCAAGAGAGACAAATTCGAAATAAATATTGTCCCTTACCCTAAGCCTAGCTAACATATCATTTTAGGTCGTCATTTTGTCCCATTTCAAAAATATCGATTTTAAGATGTGTTTTTTTAGCCATTACTCGAACACTAGAAGACCTATTTACAAAGTTAGCATGCACAGATTAGGAATATTTCGTTTTTTTGTGTTACCTCCCCTACATTCCTCCAATGTTGAAAAAAAAACTAACACTTGATTGCCATATTTTTATATATATTTATATATTTTTTGATTATGTACAAACAAAAATATAATATGAATTAAGGGGATTTTGTAGTCGAGCACGTTCCTACATGTTTTTATTTAATTTATTACTTTAACAACTCAGAAGAAAAGTGACAATAGTTTTTGTTCACTCGTTTTTTCTTTAACCTTGCATACGTATTTTAATCTAGGACCCCATAAAGTATATATATATAAGTACTCTTGATCAGATTTGGCTCTTTCTATAGTCTCTAGTCATTCAATTTTGAGGTTTTTGTCGTTTCAAATCAACATTGGACTTCCATAGCATATAGCTCCAATAGGAACAGTCGGACATAATGAAACATGTTTTCACATTTTCAACAAATTTCAACCGAATTTGCTATGTTTTCAACATGTTATCAACATTGGACCATTATATCATGCAATATAGGAACAATCAGAGGAATATTGTACATAATCATCGTTGTTTGGGTCTTAAGCCTGTCAAGCCTGTATTTTTCAAACATTAGCTCCATCGAAGTTTTGCCCCTTCTCCAAGCGCTCGTGATAGCACATGATTAACTACTTACTGGCCAGAGTGGACAATAGATGGAAAACCGCAGGCCGCAAAACCTTAAGCCGAAAACTGAGCCTAAGCCAAAAACCCGAGCCCGCTGAGGGCGGCGAAGGGAAAAACAATCACAACAATTTGCCACGCCTACGCAGCAAGAAGAACAAGAGAAACCGCATGAACACGCGCGCTTTATAAAATATCCGTTCGCATTTGCCGCTGAGCCGTCGACGGGCGCATTAGCCGAGGACCACCCTGCCCCCCGGCCCCGTCAATTGCACAGGCTAAACAATGGAAATCGGGCTGGCCAGGACACAGGGGAAGAATGGATTTTGGGCAGGAGCTTGGAGTTGGGGATGAGAAAGTGGCATAAAAAGCCATTTTGTGCGGTTTCAGCCGAAGGGCGGAGTTTATTGGACGGGGCAGGCTCTCTCCTTTTTACCCTGGAATCGACAGTCGACTCGAATGACATTTATTTTATTCGCAACTTCCGGCTTGCAGACGTCTGCAAACATCCGGGCTCGTCATACTTTTTGTTTGCCTAATGTCTGCCACTTGACTGTAAGCGCGTTTGCGGCAATTAAGCAGCCCCAAAGACAAGGGCTTGACTTTGAGACTCCCATAGCCAAGGGACTTACAAAGGGACCAACCAGCTCACAGACAAATGAACAGAATGGAACGGAACGGAGCGGACGGAAGAACGAGCTAGCGAGCGGGCGGATGGAACGTAACGAAACGCCGGCTGCTGCGAGTTAATTGCCAGGGCAGAGGCAACGTCTTTGTCTTTTAGTTTTGCTCTTCTCCCTTGCTCTCTCGCTCTGCCACACTCTTTTTTCGTCGCTTTCTATGTGTATGTTGTGCGGTTAACGAACCCTAAATTTATGACTAGTTCTTTTGATCGATCAACAAATTGGCTGCGAACTGGTTCGCTAGTGGTTTAGCTTTTTAACTGCGCCGACTTGCAAGGGTTTAAATATCAACAATTATAGAATTTAAAAAAAAGGGTTTTCTTTATAAAATACATACTTTTAGAGACTAAAATCGATTGACTGGTTCGGAACTAGATCCAAATCAAAACAAATTACAAGTTGAAAGAAAAATTTTGAAAATATTTCTTAAAAATATTGCATATTCTTCAAGTAGTTCGGAATCAATTCTAAAATAAATGCACTGAGTGGATATTATTTTTAGCTGCAGGCACAGCTTTCTGGATAAAACATGTTTCAGTTGTATATATCAGTAATTTTCATAATATTAACTATCCTACGTTTAGGACGTATTTAAAAAATATAACGTGCATTCGAACCTGGATCCTCACCGTTTGGATATCAGGAATTATTGTTGCTTTGTCGATGAAATTAATGCACTGTCTTAAAATCAACTGTTATCTATGATGAGTATATTTGAAATCCATTAAGTACTTCGATTCTATATCGCTTACCAAGTGATGATTATATATCAATTGGATCTGCTGAATTGTGGTTAGGTAATTGTTTCATTTTGCTTCGGATTGGCCGCATATGACTCGATCTCTCACTAAAGGTGAACCTTCTGCTGCCGCTTATACCCATATCCAATGTAGACAACAACAACAGCTGCCTCGTTTTTGCGTTCGTGGTTTTTATTGTTTTTTATTTGTTCATTTCCATAGCATTTTTTATTTGACAATTTCACATCGCATTTACATATCTCTCACTCACGCTCTCTGTGCGATGCTTATCACACTCGAGGACAATTGCGGCTTTTCGAGCTATGCACGTTGTGGTAATTTGATATCATTGTTGTATAATTTGGCATTGCCTGGCATAAGTGCTGCGTAATTAGCAAGGACATGCCCACAACAGGGCCAACCGCACAAAAGGATACAGAGAGACGATGAGGACGAGTGCGTTGGGGAGGTGGTTGGCAGCGAGAGAAATCCTTTGCTGACATTGCTCATTTGTCATTTTAACAAATTTATTTTGTAATGAATGCCACACACATGCACACACACGCATACCGCATACGCACACGCACACGCACACGCACACTCACCAACACACATACAACACACACATGGCAGGCACTTAAGCCAACACATCAATTAATTCTGAAAGCATTAACATGCTCCGACTCCCAGCCAACAACTTAGACTCCGCATTTCGTTGCAGCCTTTGTCTCCTGGATGAAGTTCTATTCAACGTTTCCCAAGGAGCTGAAGCCCATCTTCAATGTACGCATCGCGCATATGGGCCACTTTGCCAAGAGCTTTGCGTTGAAGGAGGCGCCCAGTAAATTTGCCAGCAAGCATGCGGCCCCAAAGGCGGCACCGCCCACCAATCGGCTGACCTACACAGAGCGGTATTCGTCACATTCAATTGCTGCCGATAAGCTACGGATTTGTACTGACTCCTTTGACTCATCCTCCCATTCACAGCGATCCCGAGAAGCTTCAGCAGGCGAAGCGCGCCAAGCGACGTCTCTACACCACAACGGTCAGCGGGGAGAGGCGACAGGTGCAGGATCAGCAGCAGAAGCCAGGGGCCGATCATAGAAAGCTAAACGGACAGCGCCATCTGCCGGAGGGAAGTGGCAGAAACAGCTTCATGAAGAGCCTCAAAAAGTCGCGCGCCCTCAACATATCCGAGTTTGATAGCGGTCTGCCTGCCATCGGTGATCCCAAGCGGCGCAAGCTGGCGTAGTAACTGATGCCGGGACGAGCAGGAGATGGAGATGAAGCTCTAGCTGAAACTGAAGATGGAGCTGGAGCTGGACTGTCGGCCAGACGGGCCCCATTTATGCGCGCCATTTTCTTCGAGCGCTGTTCAAGCGTTTAATCGAAAATAAAATTGCCCCTTAGCAGCAGCTGGAGCAGCAGCAGCAGGAACAGCGGGAGCTGGAGCGCGGTTAAAAAATGCTAAGAATCTGTCAAGCTCAACTCATAAAAGTTTAATTTTTCTCAACTTTTAAGCCCGGACGTCCTCCGGGAAAAGTTGAAACGCCCAGCTCCGCTCGCCGCTAGCATATTTAAATCTTATCTTTACAGTTAGTTGTCTTTTTTATGTATGTATGTATATATATATATATATATATATATATATACATTTTTTTTTTTAATATCTGTAAGGCAAATATTAGAAATCCATTTTCCGCTCACTGCAGATTCGTTCAGTTTTGAAAATGTCAATCCCTGTGTCGCGCAAAGGCCGAGGGTGGATGGGCGGGCACGTGTTGGCCGCCTTTTTGTATAACTGAAGCGCGTAATTTGTTGGACAAGCTATAAATAAATATTAAACATAAACGCATAAAAAATCAAACGATTTGCTTTCGCTTTACATTTTTTTTTCGGTCGCTTATTTTTTTTTTATCCTCCATCGAGCGACGGCCAAAAGCGTGCGGCAATATTTGCGCAGAACACGTGCCAGGATAAGCTGGCTAGCATGGCTGTTAATAGCGGCCCTGCATGCAGCGCAATTAAAATGGGGCCAACGATTGATTTTTAATTAGCCGCCTTATTGCCGGTTTGTCTGTCTGTCTGACAGCCAACTCGAAAGTCAAATTGGCCGTCAGCCAATCAAGCGTCCACCCACAGGTTGAGCCGAGTCCTAATTACGTGCGAGTGTCAACATATGAAATAATATTTTGATACAGGTGCCTCAGGCACGCGGCTAAAAGGTAACCGTGCCGGTAGTGTATGCGCAGGGCAGGCCTTACGAAATTATAGTTCAGCTTGTGACGCATTTTCAAAACCCATCTTTCTACTGAAAATGTTGGACCTAGAAAGGGTCTATTGGTTTTGTTCAAATGTATGAAACAGGGAAGCTTTGCCCATCCCATCCCATTATATATTCTCGGCCAGCATAATAGCCTGTAGTCGATCCTCCCATGTCCGTCTGTCTGCCCATTTGTCCATTTCGGGAACTCTGCCTCTTGGGACTTACAAAAAGTAGACACTTAAAATGCAAAATATATATTCTCATTTGGTACTGACTTAAAATTTCCCGAAAATTGAAAAAATCTCATATCTCATTTTGAAAAGAAGGGCATCAGAAGGGCATTAAAATGTATATGCATTGAATAATTAGTTGGGTTTAGAACAGGAAAAAGTTCAGATTTTATGGTTGACATAGAAACGATCGGCATAGACAGATCTCTACGATTCTCATCTTAGTATGTGTTGCATATATATAATATATATCCCAATCGCAACTTTGCCATTCTTCCTATTAAAACGCATATTGATCATTGTCAGAAAGTATTGTAGCTATACTTTTTGTTGGGAAAATAATAATATCACAAATGATATAACAAAGTACACCTACAGCCGTAAGAGCTTGGGCACATTGTTAAGGAATTCTACAAGCAAAGGCGAAATATGAGTGGGAAACTGTTGCTACTTTATATATTTTTGGTTAGGCTTGTAATAGTTTCTTACGATATATGTAACGCATTGAGAAGACGCCTCAGACCCCAGTTATATATATTATTGATCGATATCAACAGTGCGAACTTTGTCTCTAAATTACGAAGTTAACTATATAAAATATATCGGACATCAGCATTATGTCTGCAAAGGTTTTTCATCTTTGGCACTCCGAACATATACGAAGAATATATGGAAGATTCTATAAAGGTCTTATGGGAGCTATAGAAGATTATTTTCTACTTAAGTTATCCGCAATAGTATGTGTAGATTATAGACATTTAGATAAAGCTGTTCCTTTATTTTATAGTATCCAAACTGCGAATTAATTTCCAGACAAAATAATATTACCAATATTATAAATCATCTGCAAGGATATGAATAAGCCATAATAGAATTAATTCAAGGTCTCGTATATAGAACTGAGCTGTATAGGGCATTTGCGCGTCGGTGTTGGTGAAATAGCTTTCAGCCTGCCTGTTGGTTGGTCAATGCCGTTTGCAAAGGGTTGTTGAGTGTTTCTAATGCGATTGTACTAATGGCTCGAATTATAGACGCATTAGGGTAAATTAAAATCTTCCTCGTTCTATGGCCGTTCTTGGGGTTGTCTATACGCCGGCTGCCAATAAAAAGCCAACTCACTTAAAGAGCCAACGGCTTGACCCCAGTCCACCGATCGGCAGTCCGACCGTCGAGAGCTGACGACTGGTGGGGTAGGGTTTATGGGGTGGATTTAACGCTTTAAGTGTGCGTGGTGCGCGGGTGGTGTTGGAGCAGGAGGCGGGGTGGTAGCAGTAAGGGAGAAGGTTGTAATGAAGTTGTAGCGGCTGCATCAACAATGCCATTGCCGGACTGTTCTTTTGTGGTCAGGTGCAAGTGTTGCCGGCATTTTTTCTTTTTTTGTCATATATATTTTCATTCAAATTGAATAGAGGTACAAAATAAAAAAAGAAAAGGTAAAACCCCAACAGCTGTCAACATTTCTCCACAAGTGGGCAGGAGTGGGAGACTTCACTTTGGTTATGACAATGCTCCGAACCGTGCCCGTTGACAATTGAGTGGCACAAAGGATGTGGCGGTCGTCGGTGGCTGGTGGCAGCTAACTGACGAAGGCCGCATGGATTTGACACCTTGTTTCGTCATACAAAGCCCCACAGTAATTTAATTGTTATATACTCCATCTAAAAATAAGTACGTGCCCCTCGCACCGCTGCCTAACTGACATGAACTTTTTTTTGGAAGTTAACAAATGCTTAAATTGGGGCTACAACAAGCTAGAATTTGAGTTCCCTACAGAGCAAAATTCAAGCATTCTTCAAAATTTGTTGGTTAAAAGTGAAATTGGGACCCAAGTATTTTATTATTGCAACTTATGTTAAACTCTGGCCCTTACCTATGAAAATACTACCTTCACACATTAGATAGGAGCTCGTACCTCGTTGTTTAATTACCCACTAAAGCGTGCTATACAGTGTGCATCTCCCTTGGACACTTACATGTGTGAAGAAGGTGTACGTTAAGACGCGGTTCCGCTGGTGTGGACAAATTGTGGAAAAGATTTATTGCATGTTTCGTATAGTAAATACGATCGGCCCCAAATTCATTTTCAAAAATATTTGTTCAAAAGTTTTTGTGAGATGTTTCACGCGACCAATTCACGACTTTTTGGTGGAAATGATGGTTCAAAGATTTGGTGGGTGACTTGTTTTACACTTCGCTAAGTCATACAAGAATGGAAAATAGATCCATTTCCTAAGCCCTTTATTCATTTCGCAAAATCTACGCATCTTGTGGGGAAAATTCGGGACATAAAACAGGTGGAAAATTTTGACTCTAACTCTTGGACGGATATAAATCGAGACGTGGCGTTCAAGATAGAACGTATAGACTTCATTCTTTCATGTGCGGCAAAAGGGCAATGTTCAATATTAGTAGAACAAATTGGGTCCGAGCAAGGCCTGGAAGTACCAGTCAGTATAATATAAAGTATACAGCACTTGACTAAAGCCGAAATATGAAAATAAGGCGGGGCGCTAAAGCCCCTGAAGTGACCAAGCTATGGCCTGAACAATTTGGGAATTACAATGTAATTCGCCAAGCCAATACTTACCCCAAATGACACAAGTATAGACAGGTAAAGACGGCCACTGCTCCAAACCCATCGATTGACTCAAACTCAAAACTCAAACCAAATCCCAGGTCCAGTCAATTCCGCAAAGGCTTGTGTCTGCTATTTCATTTTTTTCTCAGCCATTTCCAATTTCCAATTATAACGCAACGCGATTGCGTGCACAAAATGACATGCTTTTATGAATTCGCGATGATCTCGAGACGGGGGCTATGGCGTTCGCGGTTGCGGGTGGGGTGGGGTGGGGAGTTGGGTGTATCTGGCATACACGGACACCCTTTAAATTATGATTTCATTTGACGGCGCCGGTCGATGGCGGAGGTGGAGCCATAGCCCGATGGGGCACCCACACACAGACTGCAAAGAGGCCGGAAATCAGGATGAACTCAAATTATATATATTTTATGCAATGTTATGTTATGGGCTTCACTCACTCTTTCTCTTTCTATTTCTCAGTCTCTTTCTCTAGCTGTTTCGCTTACTATTTCTTTTGTTGCATTTTTATCCAATTATGTTCATTGAATTCGCATTTGAAACGAGCCAAAAGGCAAAAGGATAAGATTTTAGGGTGGAGAGCACCATTTGATATGGTGGTGGGGATAGGTTTAGGAGTTGGGGGTGCGGTAGGCGGCTTTGGATGGGTGGGGGAGGGTTGTGGCAGGGGTTGCAGATAAACTACTTAATACTTATTTAATTTGTGCCTCTGTACGCGAACCTATTCGAGCAGAATGCGCCGCACAACTGTCATAAAAATCACGCAGCGGAAATTATTTTGTCACCATTGATAATTGCATTGTCACACCAAAAACACTATTGATTGTTGTTGTTGCTGTTGTTGTTGCTGCTGCTGCTGCTGCTGTTGCTGTTATTATTATTATTATTATTATGATTGGAGGGTGTTGAAAGTAACACCCCGCACATTAAATCAAGTGGCTGTAGCTCTGACAGTGGCAGTGCGTCGACGAACATCATACATAAATTATTGAAAAATCATTCTGCAAATAAACTCAACGAGCTGGCGACGAGACAGACAGGACAGGAGCGGACCAGAACGACGATGAGCCAGCCAGAGGCACAGCCCGAGCCGTAGACCCGGCTCAGATTTGGCTTTGGGGTCGCTGCGAATGTGAAGTAAATAAAATCCACCACCAGGATGCCGCAGACATGGACACGGACACGAACACGGACACGGACATGGACTAACTGACTGACTGACTGACTGGCTGACTGTGTTGATTGCTTTGACAAGACCGCAAATAAAGGCAGTAAATAACTGAACTTGTTACAGCACAGCCCGCTTGAGGGGTGGGGCAGCAGCGGGGGGGTTGAGAGTCGTTTGCATTGCGTATACGCCGCATGGCCGGCGAGCAGTTTTAAATATTTGCACTTCTACACTGCTACAAAGCCAAATAAAATATTTTCTGCTTAAGAAAAAATATAACATGCTCTGAATTTTAAAAAATATTTTCTACAAATTTCTAATTAGCGCTAAGCTAAAAGTACACTTTTTAAGCATCAAATTATTCTGAAATTGTAAACAAATTTTATTTACCTTGGTAAATTTAAAATTACTTGTAGTGTAGTCAACTCTTTCTTCTGCGGGTGAGCGTCAGGTGAAGGTGTTGTGGGTTGGGTTGGGGGTTGAGTTTAGGTTTGGTGCTTGGCCTGACAGCAGTTCAAATAGCAGCATCAGACAGCCAGGCAACAGCCAACGCTGGCAAATCCAATTAATTGTATTGCGCCTAAAACTTTAAGCGGAGGCGTCGAACCACAGCCGACACCCCCAGCACACACACACACACACACACACACACACACACACACACACAACAACAACCCCCCAGCCGCACCCCCACGCCCACCTCCACACCCTTTACGCAGCCATGCCACAGCTTAATGGAAGGCGACTTCTGTGCGCGTCTCCGGCGCGTTTGTGCCCGTCAGTTCCGTTTCCGTTTGAACGAGTGCCCGTCTATTTATTTGCAAATGCAACTTGTCCAATTTGACAGTTGTCGCTTGTAAATGTCAGGCCTGGCTTGGCGGGTATACGGTGGGTGGGGGGCAAGGGTAGGTCCCAAGGGCAGCCGTAGCTGGCAGAGGTAGCAGCAGGAGCATCGGCGCCCAGTGAAGCGTAAAGTGTGAAAGCCTGTAACGAGGCATATTGCAATTGGATTTTGTGTAAATTTATTTATGTTAATTAGTTTCAATTTGATTTAATTTGCGCTCAAGCAGCAGCTCCAGCCAGCGGCTTAGAGGGGCAGCTGCTGCTCAGCAGGCAGGTGGGTTGGTGGCTGGGGGGCTGGGGGGTGTAAGTGTGTAGTCATAACCAACTGACAATTAAAAGCACGTTAAAAACGCATTTAGCAAACGGGGCAAACGTAGCAGCACAGGCAGCGGGTCAACGTGGCTTTGGATCCGTTTAAGCCGAAAACGCCTAATGACAGCTGCATCAATCCTGTGCGCTAACAAAGCGTTGAAGAAATCACTTTACCAGCGGCGGCTGTGTCCAAAGAGAGGGAGGGAGCGAGAGAAAAAGAGAGAGAGAGCGAGAGAGCGGAGAGTTGAGAAATGACTGCCCAAAGGAGACGCCGCCAAAATCAACGAAATGACAACGAGACATGCAAACAAATGAAATGATGATTCCGATACCAGCTCCAGCAACACAGCTCGACTCCAACGATGACTTCGACGAAAAGTCTAATTTGTTGATAATTTGCGACCGCCGCCGCCGCCGCCGCTGACCGCCAACGATGCCCCACGGCCAGAAGGAGGCCGCCGCGGCGACTCGTTGTGGGAAATGGACGCAGCGCAAAGCTGGACAAGCGATACTTCCGCTACTTCGTAAATGGAAATGGAAATGCTGCTAGAGCTTGTTGCTCTTGAAGCAGCAGCAGCAGCAAGAGGAGCACACATGGTGCTCTTTGGTGCCGTTTGGATTTATGATGCGCTGTGCCAACTGCCAATTTAAAGGCAATTTGGCCAAGAGGCGCGATTTCAGCTAAATTGCAAACAATTTGTGGGCACTGTAGCTTTTGGGGGTGAGCCGTGCCGCCACCGACGCCGCCCGTTCTGAGGACAGTTGACTGATGTGCAGGGCTGGTACCTGGGCTGGCCACGACCTGAACTTGTACTAATTAATTGCCTTTTAACAGTCGATGAATAGCGGAACACAATGCACAAAAAGTTGTGCCACCACAGCCGAAGCAGAGCAGAAGACTTGCAAAGGCAGATCAATGGTTCGGCAACGGGAATATCATGGAACAGTGTACATTCAATTGCCTGTCAATAGAACAAGATTCGCATTATCAGAACGGGCAGAACACGAGAGACTTCACACAGGGGCTAAAGTGGACTACAAAGTTCGCTTTTTCGGCAAGGGGGGAATAAATCCCTACCGACTGTGTTGCATGGCATTAAGAACTGAATCCAGATCACGCTGAGTGGGTGGAAAAAGAACATTAATCGAAACAACAAAAATTAACTTAAGCGGATTCATCCAGGTATATAGGTGTAGTAGGAAAATTGTCTTTCAGCTAGTTGAAAAGGATAATGGAACATTGAGAACATAAACAGTCAACTACTGAGGAAAGTTTGTGAATTAGTGAAACTATGCGGAAGTGAAACAATGATGCCGTGGAGCACTGTGGCGGTGGAATTCTGTGGCACGGGAACAGTGAGAAAGAGGATCATTAAGACAAAGCCTAGAGCAATCAGACAAAAACTACGGAATAGTGGGGCAGGCGAACATTGGGAGAGTGGGACAGTGATATAGTGAACAATGCAAGAGTGGAACAGTGAGACAGTGGAACTATTCCTTGTGAAGTCTAAATGGAGCAGGGTGTAAAAAAATGTAAGCTGTGCAAAAGTGGAAGACTGATACAATGGAACTGTGAGATGAAAGAGGCAACGGAATAGTCAGGTCGTATAGGCAAGGAACTGATTAACTAGCTGAACTGATTAGTAGTGCGCTTCCCGCCAGGTGCAGCCCTATTAGTCGGGAGGAAGCAATGAAATAGTGAGAAAGTGGAACTCTGTCCAGAAAGGAGTCAAGCATTCCATCTCCGCCTCTCTTCTGCCCCCTCCCAGATATTGCTGTCATCAAAATTGTGTCCATTTGGCAGCCGTTGCTTTGATTTATGTGCACTTCACGCTTTGTCGCAATGATGGCGCTGCCACGCCCCCACCCCCTCGCCACACCCACACAGTGACCAAGGCATTATCCTTGGCACGTGTGCGCACAAATTGATCCTTTATGAGCATTTTGCGGTTAATAATACTTCAATGTTTCCGCACCCCCGCCAGGTCAGGCTCATGAATCGCTAGATGCGGCAGGCGGGCACGTGCCACCGCCGCCGCCGTCGCTGCTGCCATTTCCGTTGCCGTTTCCCTCGCCCTCGCTTAGCCGTTAAGTGTAAATGATAAGCCGTTGAGAGATGCTTGGTTGGGCCCACTGTAAGGGCTAGCTCGCATTTGGGGTTAAATGTGCGACGCTGACGGTGCCAATAGGCAACGCATTTGTTATGTTTGTTTGTTTTTCAAATTTAAACAAATATATATATGTATATATAAAAAAGGAAGGAAAAAGCGTATGGCAACTGGAATGGCAGTGGGTAAAGGCAACTGTAAAGGCATAGGTAAAGATAAAGGTATATAGGCATAGGTATGGGCATGTGTATGGGTATATGGCTTTGGGAGTCGCTGTTTGACATGTGACACCTTTTGTTAGCGAGTGTCAACGGCCACGCCTATTGTTTGTTGTCTGGCTTTACAGTCAGTAAAGCGCTTTAGAGTAGCGATCCTTTGGCTGCCTTTGGCATCCTTATCGACTTTGCACCCGCTTGTATGAGTGTGTGTGCGAGTGTGTGCGTGTGTGTAAATAAATCCCAAATGCCACTTCACACTTAATTTGCTCATAATGCTCGGCGTAATCCGTCGAGGACGCAGGACAACCCCTATTAATATCCTGGCAATTACACTGACAACAACAATATTTGAAAATTGCATTAGAAGGACAACCACCACCACTTGCAACAACAACAACAACAACAAACAGCGAACAACAGCGGCAGCCACCCGCCCGTCCCTTGGCCAGATTTTCTGCTGCATTGGCCTCGGCCCGGCATCGCGAGTTGGATCTTATCAGCTCCTTCACATATGCCCGCTCCGCTTAATGCTTCTAATGTGACAAATTCATCCATTCCATCGGGCTGGGAGTTCAGTTTAGAGTTGAGTTGTCCTTGCCGGCGAGTTGTCCTTTTCAAGCGACGCTCAAATTCACATCGCTGATAAGACATAAGCCCCGAACCCAAACCTAATGCCAACAAAAAAGAAAACCCAGACCAATCCCCATTGCCGCTCTCTCCCCGTTGATTGCTTTCATAATTTGTTCTTGCGTTTTATTTATGATTTTCAATTTTTTTTTTGCCGCATTTTTATCTTTTGCCCGTCTACAAATTGCCCAGATCTCAGGGCTGCGATAGAAAATGACAACAAATGTTTTAATTTTTACCCAAGGATTAAATGCCAAACGGGAATTTGAACTGTTCCTATTTGGTGGCACGATCAAGGAAATATTAGAGAACTGTTAATTACAATCTTCAAAATAATATTTATATTATTATTATTATTATTATTTTTTTTAAATAAATTATATTATGTCAACATCCACTTTCTTATTCAGTTCTCAATACAGTCGTTTTTTTTTGTTTCACT